TTCAAATGTATCAAGAAAAATAAAAAATTATAGCCACTTTCATGATTTTTTTTTTCCTTTTTTCCTAATAATATAGAAACTCGCTATTTTTTTTTTGAATATGTACGAACTATTGGACGAAACAAAAATGTCTACAAATCATGTTAATAGGGAAAATCACGTGAAATATGACAGATTCGACCAAGAAGACGTTAGCATGTTATGTTCATCAAAGCATTTTGATTAATTACATTGAGGTCATTTTTACTTATAGCTTAGGAATAAAATCAAAATAGACCCACAAATAGTTGGCATTGGAATTGGATGATAATACAAACATTAAATGAGGGATGGAATGGATAGATGAGAATTAGGTTTATAATTTTATTTTATTTTTTTTTATTTATTTTGGTCTCTTCAATTCATTCCATTATTATCATGACAAAGGTGGTCTTGACTAAGACATACACACTGGCATTTGTCCTCTTGAAAAAACTTAAGAATATATATATATATATTTATTTATTTATGGGGCTATAAAAGTTGGATGCAACTAATTATAATCCTTTTGGGGCAGGTAAATGTACTCATCACTACTACTACCATTCTTCATATCCTAACTAAATCAATGTACCAAAAATGTATTTTTCTTCATGTTTGATTTTATATATTTTTAGTTTAAATAATAATTTTGATGTGTTGTTTTATTAAAAAAAAAAATTATAAAAAAAAAAATCATAATATTTCAATTGTAAATAAAAAGGAAAAAAAAAATCAAATTTCAACGGAACGTAATAAATATTTTATACACTCCTCTATAACTTGTTATATTGCAATTTATGGCATTTTCGACCATTTTGTAATTGTACTCATTCTTGATTGTCATCAAGAAATTTACGAACAATAATATATATTTTACTTTGTTACAAAATATTAATATATAATATGAAATATTATTTTTTATATTAATGATATTATTTTTTATATTTCATATTAAAATATACTTTAAGTATATGTTATTCGAGTTAAAATGGTAGCTTAACTGCGAGTTGAACTTGCAAGACTTGAACTTAAATTCGAAATTGATTCAAATTTCATATATTTCAATACATAAATTAAATATACTTATTACTATACACAATTTATTATAATCAAATATTCATATTTCAGTCAACAAAGGTAAGTTTTGATGCAACAACTTATATACAAATATTTTACTTTTACAAATCTACATTAAGTAAATTTCTAAACTGAGGACGATAGTCTATAAATCGAGTTAGACAAATATATATATATATATATATATTTAAATTCAGCAAAAATATATATATATATATATCCATTGAAAATTTGCTCTCATTCAACTGCTAAAATTACGTCATTATTGGTTTTTTTTTAATTGTCTATTAAGTTTATATTTATTTTATTTATAGTAAATAATTTTATTATTTATATTTTAATAGTTAATAATTAATTTATTATTATTTTTTCTATTCATATTATCTCATCATATTTAACCAATTTTTTAATATATTTTTCCAAATATCTTTAATTTTTTTTTACCTACTCATTTTACGTTGAAATACTATTGTTTTGTAGTCTTAGCCTCTAAGTAAATTTAAGTAAGTTTGACTAATCGAACGAGTATAAGAAATATTTATTTTTAGCACGTAATTTTAAAAAATATTATATTTCAATTATAGTGAGTTATAGTTTTTATATGAAAAAACAAATATACCTTTATTAAAAAGGTGGGTTGTGATGGTATTTATTAAAATAGTATAAAAATAATGATATGTATAATGTGGGGTGGAGTCTACATTTATTTTTAAAAAATAATTATTGTATAATTGGAAAATTAAAAATAAAAATATGTATATTTTGTAAATTGATGGAAAAAATATATATTATGTGTGTCTAATGCAATTTTTTAAAAATCTTGTCATCCAAACACGCCCTAACGGTTTGTAATCGCTGTGTTCGTCCTCATGTCAACGTACAACACTTCGAAGCGAGAAGTACAAGGGTCGCTGGGCCCCCTTTATCTCCTTGGACCAATAAGAAGGGCTGAAACTGACGGTAGCATGTGGTGCGTCGTACTGGATCACTCCTCTTGACGCCGTTTTCAACGGACAAGACCGGACTAAGACCACCCGTACCGGAAGTGTCAACGCCGTTAACTGTCTCCTATTTTTAAACCTTAGTATTAGTCTAATTATTGCAAATATAAATTAATATTCAGATATTGTATTGAACCACAAGATTCAACAAAGTATAAGCATCTAAATTTTGGCTGCGGTGGGGGGGGGGGTGATGTTATAATTTATTTAATCAAATAAATTTATATAAATAATAATAACAAAATTATATATGAATTTAGATAATTTTGAGGGGACAAATTGTATATAAATACATAAAAATTAATATTTTGAATACTAAAAAAATCATAAAATAATTGACTTGGAGGGTCAATTGACCCCCAAGTCCTAACGTAGTTCCGTCCCAGTATATAAGTATTCAATATATTTACATATTACATTTCAATATTATTTAAAATAAATTCAACAAATGATCCCAAACGCTAAGCCAATTATTCATTTGTATATAAGTTGCTAGCCTGTCTTTGCCATAATTATTGGGTACTATTATACATTATTATTTTATTGGAAATTAAAAAACTAAAATAAAATGAAGAATTTAGAAAATTATTACACATGAAAACCTTGTACGGACACAATACTACGGTGAGTACATTAATTGGGTAATAGATTCCAACATATGTATTATTCACAAATAGGCCCCTAGCACATTTATTTCCACAATAACTAATTCTTACATTTTACTACCTCCATTTGACAAGTAATTGTTTACTTTTTATATAAAGTTTTAATATATAAATTTGATGATACTTTCTTCTTTCTTATCTAATACTCCATATGTCCTAATACAATAATTTTTGTTTATTATTTTTGTCCGTTCCAAAACAATAGTATCATTTCCATAAATACTCATATTACCATAAAACTATCATCATTTTTTTATTATTATTACACAAATGCCACTACTTTTTACACTAATACACTCATAAGGGCAAATAAGTCTTTTACTTGTATTTTTTACCGACTATCAATATAATATCAATATTTCTTAAATCTCGTGCCCAACTTAAATAAGATCATAATTTTGGGTTCGGAGAGAATATATTATTTTTATCATTTTTTTTTTTTGTCTCACTAATTTTGTTTTTTACTTTCTTCACAATCTAATTTATCATTTTTACTATATTTTGCTTGTTTCACCCATCATCATCATCATCATCATCATCATGCTAAAAATACTTATGTATTAATACCAAAAAAAATTAATTTTTACATAAATTATAACATACAGTTATGCATAATTTATACTATAGTATAAAGTTTAAATGAAAAAATATGTAAAAATTTTTATATACGCTAACCAACAAATACTATCATTTTAAATTTACTAACAAAGTAAAAATAGTATTTTCTCTATTTCAACTTAACGGATCTATTCTACTATTTTTGCATATCTTATTCAAAAATATCAATTTACTATTATAATAAAGTAATCCATATGTAGATACAAAAAAAATAATAATAATAATTTTTACAAATTTTTTTTTTCCTTTATATATAAATTTATATGAAATTATTGCTCTCACATTGTGAGTCGGGCATTATTATATATTCCCTCCGTCCATATATATATATATATATATTATGTATCGTTAATGAAAATTACTATTTTGCGTGATGATTGGTGTGTGGACTATATTTAGTAAATTAGAAAATTAATAAGTATATATATTGATTGTAGATGTGAAATTAGAATGTATAATTATAAACAAATGTAATTTTGATTGTTATATTTTAATTTTATAATTTCAATTTCTTCTTTATTATTTTTATTTTTTTTATTATATTAGAATAAAAATATTATGAATTATTAACAAAGAGTCACAGATAAATCATCTCTATTATAATAAGAACAAGAAGGTGGGCTAATTGTGTTTATTTATTTTAGATTTGATGTCGGTTTTCTTATTTAAACAATGATTTCAATGTTATATTTTATTAAAAAAAAATTATAACAAATATAAAAATACAATCGATTCATTTATTTGTACTCTTTCTAAAGTAAAATTTAATCATAATAAAAGATAATTTTTAATTATATCGTCGAAAGAAATTGATAGCAAAAAAAAAGAGGTGGATAAACTCAAATGGCTTCGGATAAATATTGTATTATGAGCAATATCCCGAAAATGTACTTAGTTTTACTTCTTTAAAAAAATGAATTTGATAAATTTCAATAGAGAACGACGAGCAATTTTGAATATGATATAAAAATACAAAGTTTTTTTACTTAAATTATAAATTATATATATTTTTAATTAGGATTTTGTATATCATTCTAATTGCATTAAACCAATAACAAAATTTCAAATATATTTTGTGTTAACTGGATTGAAGAAAAGATAAATCAATTTAAATAGAAATTTTGGATTAAAAAAAAAAAAAATCATGCTTATATTTTATTTATATATATATATTACTTTATTTTAATTTAACCCAACTAAGAATTTATACTTTTTAAGGGTCGTACATATATAGTAATGGACAAGTGAGTAGTGTTACTTGCAATACTATTGGAGGGGCCCATTTGCAAAATGGTCTGACTTAGTTATAGGGGACTGAAATATTCTGTATTTACAAACAAGTACAGTCTCACATGCATGGATTTGCCACCAATAATACATATACATATATATACATGTATAGGCTAGGGTGGGGGTGGCCACTCTTCATCAATGAGTGGGCCCAATGTTTTTTGGATTAATATTTTTTTTAAAATTGAATTTTGCAATTGGGCCCTACACATGTCCATAATTTGCATCACACCCTTGGTTGGAGGATAATTCAAGAATTTCTCAAATTTCAAGACTTTATTATTAAAAAAAATATAAAATAAAAAAATAAGGGACAAAATGGGCAATGTAAGTCAAATCCCCTTTTGATTTTATTTCTGTCGATATAAACATTCCCATATCTGATTGTCTCACTAACAGCTCTTCTTTCTTTAATATTTAAATATAAATATATTATTATTATTATTAAATTATTATTATTATATATCTATCACATACTTCCTAATCTAAGACTTAGGAATTAATTCGAAGGGGGCAACAAAGTTTTTTTTTAAAGAAAAAAAAGAAAATGAAAATTGAAGCAGGTATAATATGGCGGCACGAACTGGACTTCTCTGAAACTGACTGTAATTGACTGGTGGTCGGTAATGGCGGACGGCGGCGGCTGCGGCGGCGGGAGGCGGCGGATCACATGACGGTGCAGCTGGAGGTGTTCTCGTCACTGAACATTGTGTAGCTGTCGGGGATTGACAGGTATGGGTATGGCTGCGGCGGCGCTTGCGGTGGCAGTGGCTGATTTGGCATGTAGCTCACGGCGGCGGGCTGGCGGTTGTACATCATCGGCTGGAAGCGGTCGTTGCCGGCCGCCGCCGCAGGCGGCGGCAGCGGCGGCGGCTGGTGGTGGATCATCATTCCCGCCATTTGATTCTGGTAGAATTGGTTGGGGTTGGGGTTGGGGTTAGGGTTGGGGACCATGGGCTTATTGCCGCCAGGATAATAACCAGCGCCGCCGTGGACGGCGGCCGGAAAGTTGGGCATTGGGCCCATCGGCATATTCATGGGGCCCACATTGGGGGCAGCATTCATTGGCATCATGTTGGGCATGCCGTAGAATCCATCATTCATTCCACCTCCTTGACCAGTAATAAAGTTATTTGGATTAACCGCTGCCGGCGGCGGCGCCGGCGGTGCGCCGCCGCCGTTCTTGTTCGGAGCGCCGCCATTCCTTCCGGCCTTGCCTGGATTGTTATGCGGCGGCGGGGGGTGAGCAGCACCACCGCCTTTGTTGCCGTGATTATTTCCGGCGGCGGCGGCGGGGGGCTTCTTCATATTTCCGGCGTGAGGCGGAGGCGGCGGCGGCCCGCCGCCGCCGGGCTTCATCATCGGCGGCGCATTCATCATAATCGGCATCTGGCCGCCGTTCCCCCTGGCGGCGCCGGCGGGAGGCGGATTCATCCTATTCGCCGGCGGCGGCATCTGCAGGGTCTCGTCGTCGTCATCCTCGAAATCCTCGTCATCGATCTCGTCGTCATCTTCGTCATCAAATTCATCCTCGTAATCGTCGCTCTCCTCAGCCGCCGGAGGCAAATTGAATTTCACCGCCTTCTGCTGCGGCGGCGCGCCACGCGCCGCCGCCGCCGGCACCTTATTCCCATTCCCCACCACCGCCGGCGGCGGCAGCGGCGGCGGCATTTTCAGATCCTGCATACCCTTCATCTGCTGCTGCAATTGCCCCCCAATTCTCGGCTGCCCGTTGTTCCCTCCTCCACCGCCGCCGTTCTTCTGAACAATCTGTCCTCCGCCGCCGCCCTTATTGTTTCCGTTTCCATTCCCACGTTTCCCGGCGGCGGCGCCGTTCCCAATCTGCAGATTCCTGAACTGGTTGTTAACCGGATTGGGATTGGGGTTAGCCACCGGATTCGGGTTCGGGTTCGGAGCGGGTTTCGGCCCGCCCCAAATCTGAGCCCATTTTCCATGCTTGCCAAGCTTCTTGATAATCTCCTCAGGACCGACATTGCCAGAAACAGTCACCTTCCCAACCTCAGCATCAATGGTGGAAGTGTAAACCCCTGAACCCAAAATAAAAAATAAAAAATCCCCAAAATTCCAAATTAGGGTAAAATTCAATCAAACAGATTGACAGTAAATTAAATCACAATCGAATCATCATCATCATCAATCTGAAAAAAATAAAAAAAAATAAAAAGAAATTACCATCAATCTTCTGCAAGATCCTCTTAACTTTATGTTTGCAGCCTTCACAGTGGATATTGACTTTGAGAACACAAGTCTGCAAACACAAGCAATGCCACAATACACAGACAGGATGAAAAACAAAAGCCCAAAATAACTTTATTACACAAAATCAATCAAAACCCAAATTTCAAAATCAGTTCTTCATACATATAAAATTCCCCAGGGAATTCAATTCCACATCAAAATTAAGATCATCAAAACCCCACATTCATTACCTTGATCTTCAAGAACTCTTCTTTGCTCGACATTATCACAACCTTAAACTCAAACAATCAAAAGGGACAGATCTCAAATACAAGAAACACAAAATGCCCCAATCCCTCACCACCAAAATAAGACACCAAACCCCTCTTCTCAATTTAGAGAGAGAGAGAGAGAGCGAGCGGGAGATTTAGGACAGAAAGAGAGAGATAGAGGTAGAGAGAGAAAGATTAAAAAAAACAAAACAAAAACACCGAAGGGACAAAGTGCAGACTGAGAAAGAAAGTAGAGAGAGAGAGAGAGAAAGAGGAGAGAGAGAGGGTGTGACAGCTTCCTTGGTATTGAGGCTGTTTTTATTTAAAGACCAGATATGTGCTTCTCATCAAAGCATGGGATTTGTCTCAATTTTAGCGTAGCCCCAAACTCCATTATAGAGTGAGAAACCAAGAAAACAAGAAAAAAGAGAGAGAAACTAACAGAAACTGATTATTCCACCGCTGTAAAAAAAAAAAAAAAAAATTTAAAAAAAGAACCCAATTTTCTGCAATACGAATACCATCGAAGCCTCAAATTATTATAAATTATTTGTAGTTTTGCTGTTTTGTGATGGTGAAATTTTGGGGCCTCCCCTCCCACCCCTTATATAGCCCCCCAGAATTCCACGGCTCGGCTCGAGCCGACCTCGGCTCGGCTCACTTTAACCGCGGTCAAACCCGGACAAAATCTGATTAAATTTTCTACATTTATTGCGGCGAGTTGTTGTCAGATTTTCACACACTAGAAACCGGTTGGTGAATTCAATTTTTACTGTTTTTATTTTTATTGTAACAAAATATTCCATTTTTTTATTAAAATAATTATCGTAATTTCACCATTTTATTACAAATTTTCTAGTGTAATATAAAATCCCTATCATTGTAATAATTATATTATTATATGTTACAAACACAATATTTTCCATTTTTTGACATTGTAATTTTGTAATATGTTCTTGTAATATTGTAATATATTACAATATTACTTCATTGTAATATTATTTCCCTTTTTGTGAAAATTATTCAATGCTTGCCTTAAATTATAAGAAACCTTTTTTTAAAAAATAAAAATCTTTTTTTTTTTATTTTTTATTTTTAGAGTTGAATATTAATTAAAATTTGAAAATTTTGACAATGGACTAATCTAGAATGGATTTTTTTAGATGAGCCTTGTGGTAATGAGATAAAGAAATTTTTATTGCTGAGATATGACTAATTTAATACTAAATTTAATTTTGGAAAATTTAAAGGAAATTGGTTTCTGGTTCGAGGATATGAATGAGTTGATGAGTAAATAATCCACTTATAATTTGGGGAAACTTTATTAATTTTTTATTGCAATATTAACACTTGGATATTTAAAAATTAAATGGCACAAATTTTGGATAGAGGCTATCCAACTAAGTGAAAAAAAAAAAAATTATTCATGATAAATGAACTAATAATTGTTCGAAGAATTCAAAAAAAAAAAAGAAAAATTAAAATAAAATATTAAACACGAGGGTGATGAAGTAAAGAAGACTTAATTAAACAAATTTTAAATTATAGACACATACAAATTAATCTAATTTAAATAAATGAGAAATGACTTACTTATTGAATTAGTTCCCTTCTCAAAGACCATCTTCAAATATATTAATCCTTCCCTGCATAATAATAATAATAATAATAATAATAATAATAATAATAATAATAATAATAATAATAATAATAATTGTTGCAAAAATGGAATTAATTTTGCTAGAAAAAGAAAATAATCGATTTATTTCGATATGAGATCTCGAGGAAGACGAGGTAGCTCAACACTTTGCTATTATCGCCCTCCATAGAAAATGTAAGAATGGTCGAAATGTGAAATACGGACAGATATATATAGCGGAGAAAAAAAAGGCAATAAAAAAATAATAAATACGCCGCGTTGTATAAACGCAACCCCAAACGGTTACAAAAATATTATCTCAATGTAATTGAAGAATATTACAATAAATGCTAGCGATAAAATATTATTTAAATCGATTATACGAATTTTATTTTAATTGAAATTTTTAAAATTAAAACGTGACATGTATTACGTCATTGCATGAATCATGCGTACGTAAGCAAATAGTAATTTTTAAATTAATTCTTTTATTGAATAATGATTTAATAAGATGAAAATAATAAAAAAATTTCAAAATATAGGAAAAACGTGTTAGAGGATTTTTTTTCTATAAAATATTATCGAAATGTAATAAAAGAAAATACAATTTATAATGCAAGCGGTGAAATATATTTAAAATGATTATGCAAACGTTATTTAAATTAAAAATTAAACGTAACATATATTACGTCATTGCATGGATCATGCGTACGTAAGCAATTAGTAAATTTTGAATTAATTATTATATCAATTTACGATTTTGAAAATAAAGAAACGATTTATCTTTACACAAAATAGAAAAATTGTATGAAATATATTTTTCAATAAAATATTATCAAATATAATCGAAGAATATTACAATTAATGCAAGCGGTAAAATATTATTCAAATTAATTAAAAATATATATTATTTAAAAAAATGATTTATAATACGCCATTGCATGAATCATGCGTACGTAAGCTATTACCCGTTTTTAAATTAATTATTATCTCGATGAGCGATTTGCTGAAGTAAATATAAAGAAGCAAATTACTTCATCTTTTCACAAAATAAAATTAAAAAAAAAAACTTGTATGGATCGTTATTTTCTACAAAATAATATTGAGATATATCGAAGAATGATATAATTAACATGAACTATAAAAGATTATTTAAATTGATTATATAATTTTGTAATTTAAAATGAAAATTAATTGTGGCATATATTTTTCTTGAAATGTAATTGAGGAACATTAGTATTTATGCCAATGACCAAATATTTCTAAAATCAATTTTATGAATTTCATTTCAATTAAGGATAAAAATTAAATGTGACAAAATGATATGTTGATGCAAAAAAATTCATTGAAGAAATTAAAGTTACTTAGGTCTTGGAGAAATAACAAGATGAATGTAACGACTAATTCTCAAAAACGAAATATTCATCTTAGTCACTACAGTCGTATTTGTCCAATTATTACATTTGAGGGAATCAATGTTAAACTTATTGGATTCTTAAGAATTCGTAGGTAGATAATGATTTTTAAATTATTTATTTTATTTAACGACTTAATAAGATGAACATAATGAACCAAATTATCTGGTGACAAAATAGGAAAAAGAAAAATGTATAAATAATTTTTCTACATAATTCAATTGAAATGTAAGTGAAGATTATTACGAATAATGTGAGCGATTAAATATTTTTTAAATCAATTATATGAATTTTTCATTTTAAGAAGTAAATTAAATTTGAGATATATTCATTATATTCTTTAATACTATTTTTCAATTGTAATTTTTTTAAAATAATACTCATAAGCAATACAATATATTTTTCACAAAAATCAAAAAACCTTTCAAATTCGCATCAGGTAAAGTCAAAAAGTTAAATATTTAACTTAAAATAATATTATATTGTATATTTTTGAAATAATTACTCATATCATACATAAAAAAAAAAAAAAAAGCAATCTATCTAAAAAGATTGAGTGTACGAAGTTTTTTAAGTAGAACTATTCTCCATAAATATATTTAAGTTTTTTGTTTATATAGTTTTCAGTTAATTATAAACAAATAAATAAATTTTTATTTATTTGCATTATACTCCATCCGTCCAAATATAAAGTAAACATTTACTTTTGGCGCGATGTTTAAGAAATAATAGTATTTTAATTAGAAGGTGGTTAAAAATAGTAAATAATATTTTTGCCCTTACTTTTTGGTTTAAAAGTAACGATGTGATGTAAAGTAAGGGGTATTTTTGAAAAAAAAAAAAGAGTAATTTAATGAAATGTTTACTTTGTAATTGGACGTCCCAAAATAGAAATATGTATACTTTCTAACTTGACGGAGAAAGTATAAAATTATGATATTCATATTATATATATTTTTATTGAGATATAATGTTAAAAATATTTAAAATACCAAAAATATTATTCATATAAAAAATAATAAAATAATATCATAACTTATTATTAATAATTACTAATTTACACTATCTAAAATATCATGTCCTAACTAAATGAATAGGACTGAAGGGAATATTATTTATTATTTATTATTATAAGTAAAATATTGCCAATATTATAGCCATATATAACCTATAAATATATTAGACATAAAATATATTATTTTCATAATATTACTTATTCATATAGTATTATATTGTAGTATATTTTACGTTTGAGATGAAATTTATGTATATATATATGGATTATAAAATAATCCTTCCGTCCCAGATACCGTGTCTGCTATATCGTAGACACAGTATTTTAGGAGGAGTGTAATTAGTAGATAATTAAGAATGTATTAGTGAAAATAATTATCCTATAATATAAATAATTATAAATTAAGATTAACATAACTAATTAGTTTAATTAAAATTTAAAAAAAAAATAAAAATAAAAAATTTAAAATGAGATTAAAATGTGTAATTATTTTTCAAAAAAGGAAAGTAATATACTATGTGTGACGGACAGAAACGGCAACGTGGACACGGTATCTGGGACGGAGGGAGTAGTACTCTTTCATTTTTACATACCATGCGATATTTTTTATTTTGGTTTATTCTATATATTTTGTAATATTTTTATAATAGAAACTAACTAGTACATTTTATCTTATTACGTCATTCAAATAAAAAAAAAAATACAATTTCTTTTTTTGTCACATTACATAATCTCTATTTTATTCTACTCACCTAAATTTTTGTACTGGAATCAAAATATTGTTTCTTATATTGGACGAAAAAATTACTACTTTTATCCCTTAATAAAATATCTATTTTTTATTTTTTATTTTAACTAATTCAAATTAATGTATTTCTTTCAATTTTTTTTTTCAATTGTATTACATATTAATATTAATTTTTTTTAACAATTTACAATTATATTATATAAATTGCATTACCTCTATTTAACACATTACAAAACTACTACATAATACTATAGGGATATAATTATTATTATCTCCATTTATACTGTGTGGATATATAATATTAATATTAAAAAAAATTATAAAGAAAATATAAATAAGTATATATTTTTTTTTATAAAATATCATATTTGAATTATAGTTTAAACAAAAATACAAAATCATATATTAAACAAACCCAACGGGTGAGTTTGTTTATTATTTTGATTTGATATCTAATTTAAATAATATTTTAATATAATATGTTGTGATAGAAAATAATATATTTTTATTAAGAATCGTGTTGATTGAATAGTGTAGATTTGAATTTTGAAAAAAAAA